AGGGCACAGATGTGTGTACACATCCACGGCATGTGCTTTCATGCCTCCCTAAACACCGGGGGTAATGTGCTGCCCTGCTGCTGCGATTGATTTTTAAATATGTGTTTGTTTGTGCTTTATTTCACCGTGGTTATTTACTGTTCATTTTGAACAGATGTCCACTGCTACAATCTTAGGTCACAGGTAAGCAGGCGCTGCAGAAGATGTAAATGTGAAAGAGTCTAATGTGTTCTTATCAAGAATTTCTAAATACTTTACTGAGGAGCAAAGTGCCGTTTGTTTGCCTTTTAAATTCTGGACAACGTCTCTTTTCCTTACTTCATCGGCATGATCATTGTAGTTTTAAGATTAAGAAGGTGAAGTTTCAGGAGGAAGCACATTTAGTTGTATTCTGGGTCCGACTTAATCCGGTTTGAGTTCTTTCGTAGGAGGCAACAGGAACACTCATTTTGCCGCAGGACTCCTATGACCTTTCCGTGGGTTGGGCATATAAAATATGATTAACATTATTACAGACGGCGTTTATAGAGCCAGAGCTATGGTTTTCGTTGGGTGACCCACTTGTGAGTTCGTGCGTTTCAGCGGGACAGACACACACCTGCAGATCAAAGACAGCCCTCATTTCTAACCTGCCGAAAGGACGCCGCGCTGTCTCTCAACCAACCTTGACACCTGACTCGCCACCCCACCTCTCCTACACCTGCGTTCCAGAGCCTTCCTCCAATCTGCTCGGTATGTGGGCGGGGTTTATCGTTCTTCCCGGTGATAGGCCGAGAGCGACACCCCACCACCGCTCCCCCCCTTCTTCCGTGACGTCATTCGAGAGAAGGAGGCAGTATCTGTGAGAGAGCCGCAGAAGTAAGGCCCCCCAACTCTTAAAGGGGTAAATAACATTAAAAATATTACCAAGCGGGAATTGGGGACTGCACTCTCACAGCTGTCAGGTAAACAAGTTTGTGCAGCGTCAACGTCCAGTTTTCGCCTTTGCTTTCGGTGTGCTTTAGCTTTTTGAGGACTGTCACTGATTTTTAATCTGCACGGGAATTTGTAACTATGCTGCAATGGCTATAAGGTTTAAACATTTGTGTTTCGGCTTTCGCTTAATTTGACATGTTGCCTTGTCTGGCAGCCGGAAAGCGGCTATCTTGTAAGTTAAGGTGTAGGTCTTTCTGTATT